TTCGTTGTGTTGTATTGGTGTTTCTTGTTTTTTTCTGCATGACTGTGACAATTTGAACAGCCACCGTGTCCCACCCTGTTGAATTCCATGGTGTTTTGCCTCAGTGTCTGTCTCTTGTATCAGCTTTGCCTATGCCACATAGTGGGCTGTTAAACAAGATCCTAAAAAGAAGCAGCCACTTACAAGGAACAGGTGCTTTACATAAAAAGCCCAGCACTCAAAGGAAATAAGAGGAAATTCTCTTTCTAGCTTTCTTTTCATTTGGTTCTGCTTCCCTGGCAGGAAGAACCTCCTTCATCTGTGTTAGAAGAGAAGTTGCATGGTGTTCACTATTAATTGGATGATAATAGTAAAGCTAATGTAAAGTTTGTCAGGAAAAATGAAAACGGCAATCTCCAACAACATCATCAATTGGTTTCTATCAGTGTTTATTTCTATGGTTTGTATTACCTTAACTCTTAGAACCCCAGGTTATGGATCTGGAACGTTTTGTACAAATTTCTGTAAAGAAAACATGTGAAATGATTGATGAGCCTCTATCACTCCAAACCACTGCCCCAAATTCCATATTTTTTGAAATTAAAGAGTGTAGAGTATCTTACAGTATAACTGAAGCAAATTTGTAGCAGCAAGGATTTTTGTTTGGTGAATATTGGATGTAGTTATTCTTAAGCCAAACTGAATATGGAAGTTGGAATGGAAGGTTGTTAAATGCTAATAAGACTTCCCTAAAACATGACTGTCATTCAGTAACTGAAATTTATCTTTTTGGAAGAACAGTCTGGCAAATCTGTCTCTGAACAATATTCTTCTTTGTTCTGTTGCTCTGTTGCTGAATAGCATTTATGTTCAAAGAAGCTAAGTTTCAGCCTCTGAGTGAGCACTCACAGAAAAAGTTAACACAGCTTTTTGAAAATTTTAGAGATGTTTAAGAGGATGGAAGCCCTTGAAAGGTCCTGTGTTGTGGGTGGAATATAGTTAGTTTTACAGTTCTTTTGACTGATGCACACTTTCAGATAACATCTTTAAAGTGTTAATGAAAACTGCTTTTTCATGCTATCAGGTCCTGCTAAAGGTATACCAGAGTGGAGGAGGCTCAGTGTGATCAGAGCAAAGAGGCATTTCTAGTGTGTTTGCAGCTTTACTTACAAGGTGTTATAATCCTGGGGGTTAGAGAGACAGCAGATATACAGAAAGGAGCAATTGTTAAATGTTAGCTTTCTCTTTGGCAGTGCCACCACTTACATTGTTTGTTCTTACTTCATTCGGGCTGAAGAATTCTGTTTGACTAATCAGGAATTTTGTGCAAAACCTCAAAGCTGAATCTATATTCTTGTTTAGCCCTTTGCATTACCATTTCAGAAGAGCACCTGCTCAGCTTTAAATGCAAAGGTAAAGTTGAAATCAATAACGCCATTACCTGTTACATGCCTTACTGAGCAGAGATTTTTTTCTGGAAGTGTCAGGCCGGAGTCTGAAATAGTAGATAGTTATGAAAAGAGTCCTTTGGGATCCGTAGAGGTAAAAGTTTTGCCATTTGACTAAATTAACTACACTGATCAAAGAAAAAGCATTAAGTATTGGGTAATTGTGATGACAAGCAATCCTCACTATGATAACAAGCATAGAAATGAATGCTATACGTGTATTTTGAAGGAGGTTTTAGTGCCAAATGTTTCCCAATTTAACCATTCTGATGAGATTTTCTTAAAGTATGCTAAGGAATATGTTCTAAGCAAAAATGACTAGCATGGCTTCTTCTTTAATAAAACGGATAGCCAAAGTAATAAATTCATTTTTGAAATATATGAGATTGACTGTATTCAGTAAGATTACAGTCCATAAAAGGCAACTAACTTAATCTTGAATTGATAATTTTTTATTTCGTGTTAAATTAGTGGAACATTAAGCAAGACTTTAAAAGAAGAACAGGAAAGTCAAAAGATCATTTGTGCTTGAAAAAAAAAATACGTTTTTGCCATTTTGTACTGATGAATGAATGATGAATTGCAATCTTGTTTTCTTCCAATGATTTATCTTATATACTATTTTTTGAGTGATGGGAATATCTGTCATTCAACGTAAGCTCTTTGTGATGTCTCATTTCCTCATTCATTATTGTCTGTAAATGGGCATGGTGCTTTAACCAGTGTTATCAGGTGAAGACAGTGCAGGAAGTGAGCAGCCACTCTCACCTGGTGAAAGGCTCCCTCCCATCAGACGCTCTAGTACCAGAGACAAAAACAGAAGAGGGGGAACATGTTTCCTACTGACAACAGGTGATTACACGTGTGCTACTGATGGAGGGATCAGGAAAGGTATGGACTTCTTTCATTAGATCGTAAAAGGTCACTGGGCAATGTGCTTGTGAAAAAGCAAACTTTGAGTAAAATCATGTGCACAATGTTGTTATAGGAAAAATTGTATACTCACAATGTATTTTTTTTCTTCCTAGTCATTCTTTCCTTGCTTTCCTTTTAGAAACACACCTAAACTCTCAGTTTTTCTAAAAAAGTGCTTGATTTGGACCATCACTCTACCTGTGTCTTCATTTGTCTGTTATGGAAAAGCATGTAAATCAGACCTTTCTCATTCAATCACTCATCACTCAATACCATGTCATTCCAAAGGACAAATTAATTAGTTAGTAACTCCATTCTATACTTAGTAGCCTTTTTTTTTAGTAAAAATTAAAACCAAATAAATTACACTCAAGCATTGAAATATCAGAGGTAAACAGTATATTTGTTCTGAACAGGACATATCGTGTGAGATTCTGTTGAGATTTCTGCCACAAAATGCCACAAAAAAAAATGTTTCCTATTTTCAAAATGCCGCTAATGCTGAAAGGTGACTGCATAGCACAGTCTACCCCAACTAGAATTCAACTAGGTTAAAAAAGGCCTGACCTTGCAAGGTGCTGAAAGTGTCCTATGTAGTAATTCATCCTGTTCAAGTCTGGTTACTTACTGTTCAGTAGGTTTGGATTCTCTGGGTGGCATTTGCAAAGCCTTCTGGCATAATGTATCACTCACACAATTGATTATGTGACTATCTGATTAGGCCAAAGCTAACCTTAGGGCACAGCAGAACAATCAGCAATGCCCATTTCCGTAGACAAGAATAGCTCTGGTTTCTTGGCAAATTACAGCATTCTAATAGCTTTCCCTTTCCTAGTCACTGATGTGCTGTTTCTCAGCATTCACCATCTGCGGTAGCCATGTGGCATTGGACAAGCAACTTTGGCTGGGATTTTTCTTTTTTTTGTTGTTTTTAATTGGTTCTGTTTGCAGCAAATGTAGCTGTCCTAGCCAGCCACAGTCACTGAAAGAAATTATATTGGTTATTCAGCAAGCAGTTGGTTATTCATTCTTTTCACATTTTAGAAACATGAGCACAGTAGGTTAAACCTGTGAAGACAGATGTGCACCACGGTGCAATGTATGTAGTATTTGTAAAGAATAGAATTGTCCCCATTCTCCTGCATCTTATGCATTCCTATATATAATGTTTATATGAAACAGTACTTGGTTGTGAGCACATTTTTGCACACAGATTTTAAGGCCCTTGTCTAATGAGAATATGTCTTGTAATGACTTCTTGGCACTTGGAATTATTCACAGTATCTGTAGTGGTAAGGGTCCGGTCTATTGAGAAGGTTAGGAACACCTGAATAATGCAGATGATTACCATGGCATCTTGCAAGATCAGGCTCTTTGCTTCCACTAGAAATGGTAGGATAAAAAATTTAGTCCTGTTCAGTAGTTAGAACAAAAATAATAAAAGAAGTCACTTATTAATTTCTAGAGATAAATATTCATGTAAGATTGAAATATATGTTGTAGTGGGACTACATGAACATTTGCCTTTCAAAATGTGGATTTAAGAAGAAATTCATTGTTTCATAGTTGTCCTGGACAAATGGGGCTTGAGTTCAGAACTGACATTTTCTCAATGAGAAGTGTGGACTTCGACTGACTCTAATGACAAACTTAACCCAGCCTGAAATGTTTTAGCCACCAAAGTTTATTTTAGACAGAGAAGGGAGGCTAGCCCATAAGTAGAAAACATCTTCAAACGACATGCAAGTGGTTTTGAATACTTGAATTTAATTGACACATGAAGTCTACTATGTTTTCATCCCCCCCACCTTCTTTTTTATTATTTTAATTTTATTTTTTCCCCTTTTGGTATATCCTTCTTGTTTGGTTGGTTCCTCGATTGATACTTGGTTGTGTCCAGTGATCATTTATACGGAGCTTTTTTGCATTAGCATCTTATCTCCATCTCTAAGGTGGTACTGGTTCAGAGCTGATCCAAACTCCACTGAAATACCCAGAAATGACCAAGTTTGGATTACATCACTATCTCTATTCATCTTGTGCATCTGGTTTTCTTTCTTTTTTTAATAGGAGTTCCTGCTTTCTTTACTATTTTTACCATCTTGCCTGCCTTCCTCTTTCAGTTCTTCTTTGCTTTTAAAAAAGAAAAGAAAAAAAAGCAACAGGAAGAATAATAAAAATATTAGTTTCCTCATTCTGGTGTAGAAAAAGAAGCTGGTTTTTTTTTTTGATTATCAGATTTTTTAGATCTTTTTGTCAGCATGAGGTTTACAGGAGAATTTAAATAAATACATGCATTAGAATGGTGCTTTCCTTCTGTTCCCCTTTCAAACATTATTCTTCCTAATCTGTGTAAATGCTGAAAGAGACTCAGAAACTGGAGTTTGAATTTGAAATGTGTCAGCAGTCTGTGAGGCATCACAGTCCAACCTGCCCATGCAATCTGGAGATAATACTGCACAGTGTTGAAGCAGACATGAGATTATACGTTTGTTTTAAGAACCGGTTTGCAACATGCAATTTTCAAGAAGAAACATGTAAATTGTCTTTTCCTATGACTGCATGTGTTTTCAACATCATACATAATAGCCTGTGACTTGTACAGGCAGAAATAGGAGTGCAGTGACTGTCTAAAAGACTATGAATTTTGGAGAGGATGTAAGACCCCCCCGTTTTTGTTTTGTAGAGATGCTGATCACCTGTGATCTTTCATCTGAGACCTCAAGTTTGAACCAGTAACTGTTTTGATAAGAAAGAGAAAATGCTTGGTGGCATCCTGTGGTGTTTAGGTGTATTGTCGTTTTATACTTACTGCAGGAAAAATCTCAGTATTTCACTGTAACCAATTTACACCAGAATACCTTAACGTTGCAAATGTTTAGATACATATTTGGCTGCAAGCAAGCAAGTAGAGCCATTGAAATCAAAGGGACTTCCCATGCTTACTGTAAAGTGTGTACCTCAGCCCTTTCAGGAGTGAGGTCCTGTCCAGCAATATCAGGGAAAAAGTGACACAGGGTGACGAAAGAGTAGTCCAGAGAGGCTTGATCTTCCCTGTATTCGCCCTGCTCTTAGCTCTCTCCAGACCAATTAGCAGATCCTTTTCTTCATAGGTGGAGTTATTCAGGCATTACTGAAAATACATAAACATGAAGATAGCAAGGGAGTGAATATGCAATTCTGGTGTTTTATACCATGGCCTTAACAAAATGAAAACAATCTATATGTCACATAAAATAGGCAGCTGGAGTTGACAGTGTATTTGAACAGAAATGTCTGCAAGTGCAATGTTCCCTCCAAATTGTGAAGCATTATTATGTGATTGCCTCATTTAGTGATTAATTCTTTACTACTTGCTTATGTAGAATAAAACTGTATTTCATTTGAGTCAGCTGGATAAGGAGCACAAATACGGTGATTTAAATTTGCCAGCGAGGAAGCAGTTGCAGATATGTCAAACTGTGATCTTATTATACTTTAATATTAGACAGAAAATCTTAGAGTTAATAAATCTGAAGATGTAGGAGGGTTTTTTTTTTTTTACTGTAATATCATTAAGTCCTCTGCAGAAATGACTTATACTTTATGCATTTTCATCTGGGTTTCGTTTTATTTATTTTTAAGGCAGAATGTTCCTTTATATGGCATTTGATTTGATAGACTTTATATTGTTCTAGCAGTTTTCATAGTCTGCCTTCGTTTCAGTGGGTTGTTCTGCACGTGCTTGGGCAGATAGCTTACCCCAAACCCTCCTGGCATCCTGTGTCTGGCACTCAGTGCAACCCTGCTGCAGCCAGCAGAGTGGCTACGAGTGCAAGGTGGGATGTGGAGGAACAGGCCAGAGCTCTTGTGCAGTGTTCTGCTTTGTTTCCTGGGGAAAAAAAAAGAAAAAGAGCTGCATTAATTTGTGAATTATTTCATTTATTAATATCTTTTGGTAGTAATTTGTGTCAGGATTGAATTTTCTTGCAGGCAGATCCCCTTTGAGTTCCAGATAGCTCCTTGGATGACATTACATTGTACTGTTTGTCTTTGTCTATTTTTTTGGCTGAATTCAACTGATGTCTGTGCATTTTCTCATACAAGGCTACGAAAAGTCTCGAAGCTTAAACAACATAGCTGGCTTGGCAGGCAATGCTCTGCGACTGTCTCCAGTAACATCACCCTACAGCTCACCTTGTCCTCTAAGGCGCTCTCGGTCTCCTATCCCTTCTATCTTGTAAACCAGATGGCATCAACCGGCTACATAGTATTAATTCAAATACTGTTTACGCCTAATGGAAATAAATGTAGCATTAAATGTAGGCTCCACAAATATGGTATAATTCCTGCATGATGTAACTGTCAGTAGTAAAAACTGTCAGCCACTTGGGTAGCTGAAGGTTTCTATCTTGGCTTTTAAAAATTACCTAAGGTAATTTTCCTAAGGTACCTTCTCCTCTTATCTGCTATATTGTCCTACTTTCCTGTGGCAATAAAAGGACAATTAGTGGACGCCATTGGCCAGTATACTCAATAAATAAGTATATTTTTCAGGGAGATATATTTTAGTGCTTCCAACTAAATAATTATCAATCACTCCATTGAACTTTCATTTCTTGTGACTCTGCTCCATCCCGAAGATGTCTGGAATCGTGTCTTGGTTGCACACAATGTGACTCAGGTCTGCTCATTTGCATGGACCATCCTGTCCCCATCACTTGACAAGCTGTGTTGCCGATTACGGAGACCACAGATGGCTCTGGATATGTGTTCTTGCATTGTACCATCCTGCCGAAATGAAAGCACTGATAAACTGGTCTGCATGTGGGATTGTTTTTATTTGTTTAACCTTTTTTTTTTTTTTTTAACAAACTACTTGTTTATAAATGGCTTTATTTCTTGATTAACTTACTTTGGTACTAGATTGCTGTATCAGAGTTCTGAATGTCTCCGGTTGTTTGCACACAGATAACTGCAAAGAGGTTGTCATTACTGGTTACACGCAAGCAGAAGCCAGATCTCTTTCTTAATGGCTTGGGGAAGGCACAAAACATGCAAGAAAGGTAAACGCCATCCAGGCTTGCAATTTTAAGCTAGCAAGTGCTGCTTGGTGCTGTAGTCATTTCTCTACTCCAGGGTTCTTCAACATTTTCAGAGGCTGAGTACCAAGTAAATCAAGATTATTGGGTTATTTTTGTACAACTGTAGGAGGGTCGTAGTTCTCAAGTGGGGTTTTTTGGCCAGCCTTATACCTCTGGCTCATAAGCTTCAAAAATTTCTTCAGTCAATGTTTTCTGAGGTGCTTTGTCCTATATGTTGTTTGTCTGTCTGTTTTGCAGCCTGTCTACTGTATTCTCCATCTGTCTCCATACAGCACTGAGATACTGTTAAAATGCCCCCTCTTTTAAGACTAAGGATATTTTTCTCCTCTCTTTTTTCATGTGGACTATACATATATGTATAGATAAATATATATAATATATATATATTTCAAGTGCAAGTTAGTATCATTTAGACTAACTCATGTGGGCACTATGAAGATTTTTGGAGTGGAATTTAGCAATGATTCTATAGTTCTGACCAGTTGCCTATTGCATGACCATCAATCCTGCTTCCTAGCAACCGACGTTCATTACATTTTGAAACCGTATCTCCTCTTTTTCTTTCAATCTAAACATATGTTTATGCAATAGGACAAACACCATAGTGGATTCGATATTCTGGGCTGGTGAGGAAAAATTACCATATAACATAGAGATTTAGAACTACATGGGGAAGACCATAACTCACCAAATCTTATGATATCCTTGAGATTGTTGAATAATCCCTGATTGTCATGTTTTAATTTTTGTTAGGAAGAGAAATATAACTTACTGTTGACCATGTAACATCTTCTCCTGTATATAGCCTAGCCCAACAGCATGACCTGCATGTCAAAATTGTTGTATAATAATGTATTTATCAAAGTATACATTTCTGATATTTAGAGATGTACATTTGTTTAGTTTTGGTAAAATATTGTCAATAGAGAGATAATTGCAAACAGCTTTTAGCAAAGGAATTAATATAATATCTGGTGCTGCTGTTATATTAACTACAGTGTTGTACAGAATTTATCATGGATTTTTGACTGCTGAAAAAGGGACAATGGAATTTAGCCATACCAAGGACTGTACTGGAAAGAGACTCCTGCTGCTGAATGGGCCCTGATTAACAGCTCACACCCTGAGGAGGTCACTGAGACTTTACATGGGAAGTAGACCTTGTGAAGGAAGATTAAAGATCGCTCATGATTACTGCTGCCAGAGGAAGGGGTGCCTAGTCACTGTTGAGTCAGCTGTAAATAAAATGTGTGTGCATGGAATATCAGTTTTTATCTATATCAAGGAAAGCTGAGTTCAAGTCATCATTGCTAAGGCTCCATGCAAAGACCCACACCCCTATGTATATCCTTCCTGGTTCCCGCAGTAAGTTGTGCTGTGGATCATACAAAGACACATGCCTCCAATGATAGTGATGTAAACTACATCTGTCTTGACTTGCATCATAATAATGGTATATTTTGCAAAAGTCACAAATATGGACAGAGTATGTTTGCATAAATCTTTGCTTCCTCCGTTTGCCATGATCTATATTTATATGAATTCTAGCGTACCTGCCAAATCTTAAATTTACTCTTCACTTTGATAAGAGAAATGTGACTGCAGACAAACATCACTGACTTTGTTCACAGCACACAGTCTTTTTTCATTGTTACCTCAGACTATAGTATTATGAGAAATAAAAATCTGGCAGCAAGAATTTCTTTTTTTATTAAAAGTGTTGCAAACCCAACATCAGTAAGTATGTAAGATGTATTAAAATAATATCCGAAAAAATGTATATTTTACATAAAAGAGATATTCTTTGATCAGTTACTTTTTGTGATTTTTGTGGTAAATGGAACCAGTCTATTCTATGTTTATGAAGCATTGTAGTGGTACGATGTGATAATTGCGCTCTCTCCATCCTATTCAATGAGAAATTCTCCAGAATTTGTTTGTCACCCTGGTGTCCCGATTGCGGGGACACATCCCAGTTGTGAAACTCTGTATCGTGGAACTTCTGTGAACATGTCAAGGTGCATGCACAATCCTGGTGGAAGCCAGTGGAAATGTACTATCTATCTGAATTGGAGAATAAAAGGCGAAAGATCTGGGGAGGAACTTGGAACATACCTTCTGACGTGGCTCCTGCTCTTTCTTTAGCCCCATTGATCCTTTCTGTGCCATTAGTCATCCTTCTGATTCTCACACCAGTTTCCTGAGTGTATGAGGAGCTAATTCAAAGACTAGCATCAACTGGCTTTTACACCAGTTAAGTTCTCCCTTCTTGTTAATGATGCCATACCTTGTGCATAAATAGTAATTGGGGTAGATATAATTGATTCAGTGCAGTTTTAGCATGTCCTGGTGTGAATTGAACCCCCCCAAAAAAAAAGACTTAGAGATGATAATTAATTAAAACTCCTAATCTACTGTTTGGGTGATGACTGAAATCCCTGCATACCCAAGCAGAATATCAGAGAGTGATGATCTGAGAGACTGTCACTGCTGTCACTGGACCATGTTTGGTTCAGAAAGATATTTCAGAAGAGGTACTGGGATGTAAGAATGATTCTAGAAAGCAAGCTCAAAATTGTTCACATTTTGGTAAATGTGTTACAGAGCCGCCCTACAAGAGCTCAATCTGCTTAGTTTACTGAAATTCAAAAGGTGTCTCAGCTGTCCTATGAGTAGTACCTGCATGAAGGAGAGTTTTGGTGGTCAGCTGCTCCTCTCTTCCAAACCTGCTTACTGCTCCTTCCAGTCGTGCGTATTTCCCATCTGTCCCTCAAAGGGGACTAAGCACGCAGAGGGAAGGGGCTTTCCTCAGTGCTACCTGGGGATAGTTAGTGTCCAAAATGGGGTCCAGATCAGTGGTACATGGTGCTGGGCAAGACAGTAGGATGCAGTAATGGCCATGGTGTGGCTGAAGCCTTGTTTGGCATCCGGAGGGAAGGAGGTTGAATCAGGACCTCCACAGATAGAGGACATGGAGTCCAGACTGACCTGATTGCGGCTGCTTGTCTTTCTTGAGAGAACTAGGCATATTTTAAAAAAAATGTATGGAGCACAAGGTGAGTCCAACAACTGTTCATGCATCACACTCCTATATGACTTCCCTGAGAGGAAGAGAGCGTCAGCTCTTAAAGGCCTGAACCCACAAAGGTTCATGGAGGTAGCTCGTCTGTGTCTGAGAGGGATGGGGATTTTCATGGGAGATGGAACAGCAAAGTTTAACTCCCTCTGTCTGAGGAAGACTTTGAGCCTAGACCTCCCATTTTGGGATAACTCAGTTCTTATAATGCAGTTACTGTATAAAAGTCAGGCTGGACATTTGCATCCACTTTCTTTCTGAGCCATCTTTTAAAAATATATGAGTACACTGGTATTTTGTAAAGGAGAGATGTCACCCTGCCAGTTTGTTGGGCTTAGAACATACCTACCAGTCCCCTAGCCATTTCAGCCCTGAGGATCAAATAGTCATAGAAGAGCAGCTGTGGGAATTCCTGGGCTTACTTGAAAAGTATAAACAGTTTTTCAAGCATTGATGGTTATAAGGCTTGATGGTTGGAAATCAAAACTAGACAAATTCAGACTAGAAATAAAGTTTGAACTGATGTATCCATTAAGACAATTTACCAAAGGCTGCTATAAAGAAGCTATAAAGCTATAACATTCATTGAGGGGATGAGCAGATTATGGGACTTTGAACACATTTATCATTCTTCTGAGAAGATTCTGCACTGAGAAAACTTTGCTGTTCCAGCTGATTTTGTGACACAGTATTAGTAATCTTGTAGGTGTGTTCTGCAAACTGGAGCCAGAATTGCTAAGAAACATGCAGCTAAATAAATTGAGATCAAGCTGTGTGTCAGGGGGCTTTTTCATGTGTGAAAAAAGTATTGCTCTAAATGTTGTCTTACAAAAGATATAGATGAATTTGATATGAAGGAATTTTAAGGAAGCCTTTGTTAAGAATGGTTACTGAAAACCAGAGCTGGAAGAGAGCTATCTAGCAAGAGTAAACTTGCTGGCATATTTTAATGGGAAGATGTGAATTAAGAAGTCATGAATGAATGAATTAAACTATATGAAAGAGGAGGGCACTTTATCATCAGAATAAATCATGCAGAAGTCAGATAAAGAAAATTGGAATGGAAAACTGCTACTACGAAGTGAAAATTAATATATTAATATGCTTTATTACAAGCAGTGGCTTAAACAATTCTGTAATAGATACTTTGAGCACTCTCTGAATGAGAAGAAATTAGAAAAAAAAGCAAGGGTTTCAGGCAATTTGAAGTTACCAGAAATATTAACATAATACATTATTTTCTATTTGGAAATGCTTTTTATTAATTTATAAAGAGATGAGTCATTTTAAAAATGATGATTTCTTTTTTTAAGTAAGTGAAGAATTGGCTCATGAGCAAAGACTGAGTTTTTGGTGTCTGTACCCTAGTTCTAGATACTTCACCCTTGTGATCATTACCAACATTTTCTTTCTACTTAGCTGAATCTCTTCAGCTGCTGCCTCTGGGATGGGTCGAGATTGCAAAGCTTTCTAATTCTTGGATTCTTGGATTCTCTGTCACACTCTGGCTCTGTGGGAGGGAAATCTGTGCATGGAGGCTGGCTGGGAGCCCTCGTTTGAGAGATGCAGAGCCCCAGGCAGTGGCAGTGACTGTGGAAAGCCCCAGAGCCCCAATCTCAGAGCAGCTTCTCACTGCCTTTTAGCAAAACATACGTCAGCCTCTGCAGCCTCCTCCCCAAAATCCAGCCTTCTGCTGCTTGTATTTTTTTCTTCTCCTGCATATGTTGATGAACAGCTGACAGGTTTCAGAGTCATACTTTCACAGTTTCACGGTTACATATGGTAATATTCTAGCATAGGTTTGGGGGTTTGTTTTTTTAAAAAAGAGATGAGGTGGGCATTTTTTGAAAATTTCTCACATGCAAAGCATTTCATTTTAATACCTTAATATCTGCTGTAGGACTGGAGATAGATTGGAGGTAGTCCAGGTGGTAGACTGGAGATCAGTGTAAAGCAGGGGACATAGCTAGGTTATATTGAAACTTAGAGGGAGTTCTCACATTGTGCTCTGCAGCTGGTTATAGTAGAACTGCATCTGCATTTTACTGTCACATGAAGCTCTGAATTTTCTCCCCAGATGGGATTTGGGGATGAAGTGCTAGGGCATGTCAGAGACTCCTGTACTATATTCGATTTCTTCTCTGTAGAATGATTGTAGCTCCTACTGGACTGTAAACATGAATTGTAAAATGAAGAAAAATGCTTTTTTGGGGAAATATTAGGAGTGGAGATGGCTATAATCCATCATTGTCTTACAGAATGGTACAGGCACCTTAAAAAGCACTGAAAGCAGATGATTTTCTGTCAGCTGCTTCAAAGCGGCATTAGATCTGCCTGCCTGAGGTGCTGAAAAACTGAAGCAAGAAAGTGGAAGTTGTTCCCCTTGCCCTTAAAACTGCTATTTTGCAACAGCAGCAAGATCAGTCTTATTTAAGAAGCTTGGGCTTTGCAATGGAACAATGCAAAGATCCATCAGTCTGAAGAAGAGTAAACCGTAGCCACATTATCCCATTTGTCTGACTCTAAAAATAGATATTTAGGCTTCTACAGGGATTTCCTTGCTTTGTGACTAAATGCTGAATTGGGGATTTATAGAAATCCTATTTTATTCATAGCTATAAATGTTGTTGGTTTAATGCAGCATTCTGAAAGTCTTAAGACTTTGTTTACTAGGACTTTTTTTTCGTATTTTGCTGGAGTAGAAATCAGGCTTCTTCTCAACTGAAATGTTGGGAAGGCAGGAAGATGGAGCACTGAATGATGTAGTTTTCTTGACCTCATAAAGAAGCTTCTGTAAGTACCTGGAGCTACACAGTAATCAAGACATGACACACAGCTTTCTCTGTGTCAGTGTCTTGACATGGGCTGTAGCTTTTCTGCTGCGAAACTGCCAAACTTAGAGTTGGTTAGAAATCACAGCAACAAAATTCATTGTTTCTGCTGTTTGTAGCCCTTGTTCAATCCTTGTTTGTTTAGCTTTAAATTTGAGAGTACTGGAGCAATATAGAGCTTAACCACACTTAAGTCTGAGCCCAGCCTAAAGCTCACAGACAACCCTCATGCCAAGCCCAGCTGTAGTGAAGAGTTTTCTTAGCCCAGGGCGACGAGTTCTTGCTTTGAAGCAGCCTCGCTGAAAAGAATGGCAGAATCTCCTTTTGCCTTACTTAAGAGAAAGCAGATGTGGGGAAGCACCTGGTCTGTATCACAGATCTGTTGTGGTGGTCACCATCCTTTTCTCGGTGCCGGTAGCCTTAGGGATTTGCGGCCTGCAGCTTTGGTCCGTGTTCCCCTCTGCTTTCCTGCATGTCCCAGCAAGGCTGCGGCTGCAGCAGATGGGCCTATGTGCAGGGCATCCCTGTGGCTGGAGGGCCCCAGCTGCAGGACGAGGAGGAGGAAAATGGGACTAAAAACACCTCAACCAAAGGGGACTAAATCCACCTCAACCAATTACCTCCGCTCTCTGTGGATGGCAACACCGCGCTCTCTAACACGCCTGGTGCCTCCTTCAGCCAAGTCACTTGGCTTTCTGTAAGGCTAAACAGGAATGATGGACCATCTGCAAAATTCTGTTTCTGGGTGGAACAAATAGATCACTATAAGTATTTATGGACCAAAAAATGTAGCTGGAACTGGAAGGTTAATGTGAAGATGGCAAATCTTGATGAGTCACACCTCAAGTATTTGTCTAGATGGGGACACCAAAGAAATTGAAATTGTGTCAATTAAAAATATGCATTCAACCTGCCTAAATTAAACCTCTTTAAATGCCCCAAAGGCGACTTTTACTCATGTCATAGCATCTCAGAAGTATAGGGACCTAAACAATAACATTATACCCTCAAAGCTTTATATCAGATGCTATAAAATGACTCTGTGCAAATGTGAGTAAAGCTTCTTCCTAAATGTTTTGGTGATAAACTCTTCTAAAGATACCACTGAATGTAACACAAAGCGATTTTTTTTTCTGTTTTCCCTCTCTTCGGATAGATGATTCAACTCTCTTCATAGGGTTGTCCATAGAGAGGCAACATGCTCTTA